GATGAGAATGGCGGCAGTGTGAGGGGTAAGGGAGGGGCGGAGATGGTTTATGGAACGTAGATGGACGTATGCTGACCGAATTATGTTATTAATGTGTGCACCTACATGCATCTACATGCACCTACGTGCTCCTACATGCATCTACATGCACCTACATGCTCCTACATGCTCCTACATGCATCTACATGCACCTACATGCACCTACATGCATCTACATGCTCCTACATGCACCTACATGCACCTACATGCATCTACATGCACCTACGTGCTCCTACATGCATCTACATGCACCTACATGCACCTACATGCATCTACATGCTCCTACATGCACCTACGTGCTCCTACATGCATCTACATGCACCTACATGCACCTACATGCATCTACATGCTCCTACATGCATCTACATGCACCTACATGCACCTACATGCATCTACATGCACCTACGTGCTCCTACATGCATCTACATGCACCTACATGCACCTACATGCATCTACATGCTCCTACATGCATCTACATGCACCTACGTGCTCCTACATGCATCTACATGCACCTACGTGCTCCTACATGCATCTACATGCACCTACGTGCTCCTACATGCATCTACATGCACCTACATGCACCTACATGCATCTACATGCTCCTACATGCACCTACGTGCTCCTACATGCATCTACATGCACCTACATGCACCTACATGCATCTACATGCTCCTACATGCATCTACATGCACCTACATGCACCTACATGCATCTACATGCACCTACGTGCTCCTACATGCATCTACATGCACCTACATGCACCTACATGCATCTACATGCTCCTACATGCATCTACATGCATCTACATGCTCCTACATGCATCTACATGCACCTACATGCATCTACATGCATCTACATGCACCTACATGCATCTACATGCACCTACGTGCTCCTACATGCATCTACATGCACCTACATGCACCTACATGCATCTACATGCTCCTACATGCACCTACATGCACCTACATGCATCTACATGCACCTACGTGCTCCTACATGCATCTACATGCACCTACATGCACCTACATGCATCTACATGCTCCTACATGCACCTACGTGCTCCTACATGCATCTACATGCACCTACATGCACCTACATGCATCTACATGCTCCTACATGCATCTACATGCACCTACATGCACCTACATGCATCTACATGCACCTACGTGCTCCTACATGCATCTACATGCACCTACATGCACCTACATGCATCTACATGCTCCTACATGCACCTACATGCACCTACATGCATCTACATGCACCTACATACACCTACATGCATCTACATGCGTCTACATGCACCTACATGCTCCTACATGCTCCTACATGCACCTACATGCTCCTACATGCATCTACATGCATCTACATGCATCTACATGCACCTACATGCACCTACATGCTCCTACATGCTCCTACATGCACCTACGTAAACCTACATGCTCCTACATGCACCTACATGCATCTACATGCATCTACATGCATCTACATGCACCTACATGCTCCTACATGCACCTACATGCATCTACATGCATCTACATGCATCTACATGCACCTACATGCTCCTAAGTGCACCTACATGCATCTACATGCACCTACGTGCACCTACCTGCACCTACATGCACCTACATGCATCTACATGCACCTACATGCACCTACATGCTCCTACATGCACCTACATGCATCTACATGCACCTACATGCTCCTACATGCACCTACATGCACCTAAATGCACCTACATGCATCTACATGCACCTACATGCTCCTAAGTGCACCTACATGCATCTACATGCATCTACATGCACCTACATGCTCCTACATGCACCTACATGCATCTACATGCACCTACATGCACCTACATGCTCCTACATGCACCTACATCCATCTACATGCACCTACGTGCACCTACATGTATCTACGTGCACCTACGTGCACCTACATTCACCTACATGCACCTACATGCACCTACATGTATCTACATGCATCTACATGCACCTACGTGCACCTACATACACTTACATGCACCTACATGTATCTACATGTATTTACATGCACCTACATGCGCCTACATTCATCTACATGCACCTACATGCACCTACATGCTCCTACGTGCACCTACATACACCTACATGCACCTACATGCTCCTACGTGCACCTACATACACCTACATGCACCTACATGCACCTACATGCACCTACATGCTCCTACGTGCACCTACATACACCTACATGCATCTACATGCACCTACGTGCACCTACGTGCACCTACATGCACCTACGTGCACCTACATACACCTACATGCATCTACATGCACCTACATGCATCTACATGCACCTACATGCACCTACATGCATCTTCATGCATCTACGTGCACCTACGTGCATCTACATGCACCTACGTGCACCTACGTGCACCTACATGCACCTACGTGCACCTACATACACCTACATGCACCTACATGCACCTACATGCATCTACATACACCTACATGCACCTACATGCACCTACATGCAACTACATACACCTACATGCACCTACATGCACCTACGTACACTTACATGCACCTACATGCACCTACATGCATCTACATGCACCTGCATGCACCTACGTGCATCTACATGCACCTACGTGCACCTACATGCACCTACATACACCTACATGCACCTACGTGCACCTACATGCACCTACATGCATCTATATGCACCTACATGCACCTACATGCATCTACATGCATCTACATGCACCTGCATGCTCCTACATGCACCTACGTGCATCTACGTGCACCTACGTGCACCTACGTGCATCTACATGCACCTACGTGCACCTACATACACCTACATGCATCTACATGCACCTACATGTATCTACGTGCACCTACGTTTACCTTCATGCACCTACATGCACCTACGTGCACCTACATACACTTACATGCACTTACATGCATCTACATGCACCTACATGCACCTACATGCACTTACATGCATCTACATACACCTACATGCACCTACATGCACCTACATGCACCTACACACACCTACATACACCTACATGCACCTACGTGCACCTACATACACTTACATGCACCTACATGTATCTACATGCACTTACATGCATCTACATACACCTACATGCACCTACATGCACCTACATACACCTACATGCACCTACATGCACCTACATGCACCTACACACACCTACATACACCTACATGCACCTACGTGCACCTACATACACTTACATGCACCTGCATGTATCTATATGCACCTACATGCACTTACATGCATCTACATGCACCTACATACACCTACATGCACCTACATGCATCTACATGCACCTACATGCACTTACATGCATCTACATGCACCTACATACACCTACATACACCTACATGCACCTACATTTATCTACATGCGTCTACATGAACCTACATGCACCTACGTCCATCTACGTGCACCTACGTGCACCTACATACACCTACATGCACCTACATGCACCTACATACATCTACATGCACCTACATACACCTACATGCACCTACATGCACCTACATGCACCTACATACAACTACATACACCTACATGCACCTACATGCACCTACATACACCTACATACACCTACATACATTTGACAACTGCTATAAAAAGGCCAGAACTGTTCCAGACTTGCTGGGCTTTATCACAAAGCTGTACTAACCACATTCATGTGGTGGTTGGTTTAAATCATGTTAGCTCCGCCCACCTGCAGACAGTTGGGTCTGAATGAAAAATGTAAGCATAGCATAGCATAGTTTATTTATATAGCACGTTTAAAATGCAGCATGGGAGCTACCCAAAGTGCTGCACAGGCTAAAACAAAACACAACCATTACAAGGAGCTAAAACAAAGGATAAAAATCTCAATCAAAAGCAGAGAAAACATGATGAATACTAAGAGCACATTAAAACTATGATACAATAAAAACTAAAACGAGTAAGTGTCTAAAAGCCAAAGTGTAAAAGTGGGTCTTTAAACGAGAGGATGTAAGGTGGGATTTACACCAAACTTCACAGCGGACTTTGGTTCTCCCAAGAACAGCTCAAAGCTTTACTTTAAGTGAAGGTTGTGCCACCTAGCTGGAATGAAACTTCAACAGCAAACAAGGTCACAACCAGGCCAAACTTCCCGTGTTTTATCATCCAGCACCAGCAGACAGCTTCACGTGCTCAAATACTAAACTCCTTTTAACTCCTCCTCCTGAGACATGGTGTAATCTCTATGACACACGCATGATCTGTCTGCAGCGAGCTTCACATAAAGGACCTTCGTCGATCTTAACCTGTTATGGGAATCTGGGGTCATTTTGTAAAGCACTTTGAATCACACTTTGTTTGAAAAGCGCTTTAGAAATAAAATTTGACTGATTGATTGATTTAAACAGGTCATTGGGATTTTTGCCCCTATCATTTTATAAACCGCTGTATCTCCCTGATGCATAATCAAATGTAACCTGGGCTTACTCATGGATGACTGTTTAACCCACTGCTGTGGTAGATAAGAGACATCCTAACCCTAACCCCGCTCAGGAAGTGGCTACAGAGGTTTTTACCAAAATGCTAAACAACCCTAGTGGGAGTTGAGCAAAGCATTACAGATTGTTTTATTGGGTCTCAGGTATTGCACCCCCTAGTGGCAACATGCAGAATTTATTGGCAGGCTCAAAGGAGATGCTGGGTAGGGGTACGGTGTGGCTGTCTCGCAGCGTCTGCAGTCACAAGGGTTGAGGTGTTTGTGGTGAGGTGGCACGGAGATTTAAATATAGAGAAAGCAGAAATGTGACGCTAATTCATCATTTTTTTCTGTGAGAAGCCCCCAGCCAATCCGGGGGTGGGTGGGTGTGTCCAGAAACAACCTGGTTCTTTAAAACAACAGAGCCCTAAACAGCCCATTCTGGAAGGTTCTGAGTGTGTCTGTGAGTTCTCCTCACCCCACGTCCTGGTGAGTGGTTCCTCCAGGGCCACATGTTCCACCGTACAGCTGTAGATGTCTCCTAGCTTTGGGATGAAGACCAGTCTGGAGATCTGAGTGAAGCTTCCATCTTTGTTGGGATAGGGAACGTTGATGCTGGTTCCTTCAGTCACCTCCCGATTGTTCTTGGTCCAGCTGACGTTGACCGGAGCAGGATAGAACCCAGAGGTCTGACACAGCAGAACGTTCTCCTGTCCTGGTTCCACGTCATCTCTGGGGTAGATGATCAGACTGGAGGGAGGATCTGGGGACGGATTTAGACACGTGAACAGAGAACATGCATGTGGAGGTTTACCTTTCAGGTAGCTGATCATGTCTAAGCCGTTTCCTTCAGCTTCCTGGAGAGTCACATGATGCTTCAGTAACAAGCCTCATCAGCTGTTCCTGAGGTGTGACAGCCAGCAGGTAATGGCCACGCCCCCTTCATGTTGTTCATTCATGCTGATGATCTTTGAGGCTCATTTCTGGATGCCATATTTAAAAGGATATTTATACGTGCCCATTGTTTCGTTCTTTCCTAGTTTAGCAAAGATTAGTTTTTACCTTTTAAGCTGGCAATTTTCAGCTAACACTGTAGCCTTCCTCAGAGCACTGCTGATGCTGGTGACGTCACCTCTTTCTCCGTTTATTTGACGTGACGCCAACAGCATCTGAGACCTACACTTCCATGGATCCCTCTTAATGTCACGCCCCCACTCCAGCCAAGCCCCGTTTCCCCTGCAACCACAACCAGCTCATCATCAACCTCATCCGACCCACCTGTCTGGCATTAACTCATCAGCTCCACCTGCAACATTCTCCATGGAACACCAGGACCAACACCAAGCCAGTGCCAGATTATTGGAAGCTCAAACCAGTAAATTCTCCAGCACTCCAACCTCTGCCTGTACCACTGATCCTGACCTCGTTTCTGTTCCTCAACCAACCTGTTACAAGTCATCCTCCCAAACTAGCTGACTCTTTAATAAACACTACGTCTCAGGGTTGACTTGTAATTCTATTTGTGCGTGAGCGTGAATCCAGTCTGAGCTCTTACACCACTGTGAGCTAATCAGCGATCATCTTTACCTAGATTTAGACTCTGGCAAACATACTTTAGCAGCACAAAGGAAGACTCTTGTCATAACTTCACCACAACTCAGTCACCTGCAGCTTATGCTATGCCCAGGTTAAAGACTTTAAGCTTAAGTGTTAACCTCTTGGAGTGGGATTAGAAATAACCAGCGCCTCACCTTTCCGCTGTTACACGACACGACTGGAGACCCCAGGCTGGAGATTCCGTTTAAAGCCCCTTATATGAAGGAGCAAATATTTTATTTTATATGATGAAGTAAAAATATTCCAGATTTCCCGACGCAGCGGGTCAGATCACTCAACCGTTACAGTTGTCCTCCGAACTCTTCCCAAACACCCAAAAAGCCCCAGAGAGCCCTCTCCACGGAGCCCTCACACTTTTATTCTCCTCAACTCTCTCCTCCTAGCCCCCCTTCCGTCTCCATGGCAACCCCTGCCTCGGAAGCATTCTCCGGCCTTGGGTCTTCTCCCAGCCCCCTCCGGTATCAGCCAGATGGGCGGGGGTCTTCCCTCCTCCTTCTTCCTTCTTCAGCTCAGATCCAAGGAAGTCAAACATAAACATCTCTATACGTGTCCCTGAAGTTCTTATCACATCCTGGGCTACACCATAAAAAGTCGATACAAGGTTAAACTACAACATAAATTTGTCATGGATAGCAGATTAGTTGAAACACACACATCATTTATGGCAGCATGAGATCAGGAGTCAAATCACCACCCACAGACCTCTTGCTGAACCCTGAAGCCTGGTTTCACTAACATACAGATTTGAGATATAATCCAGAACTGCTATTATATAATAAGACAGGTCTGGAGGAATCGAAAATCTTTATTCAACACAACCCATGTACCTGCTCCCTGCCTGGATTGTTTTCTCTGCCTCTGACCACCTGGATTCTCGACCTCGGACCATTCTCTGGATTCTGCCTCCTGCCTGCCCCTTGTAGTGTTCACGGATCTCTCTGGTTTTGGCCCACGCTTCCTCCTGACCCTGCCTCAGCCTCGCCCACCTCTGGTAACACCTAGTTGTGGTTTCCTTGTAATAAAGACATTATTACTGTGTCTTGGTGTCCTCACGGGTCCTCAAGTTCTGTTCACAACACTTACATAAAACCTTGCACGGATACAGTTACAACAACAAAGCAAGTCTGCATCTTCCTTAACAGCCATGGATGACCAAAGATGTCAGGCTCAATCAATCAATCAATCAATCAATCAATCAATCAAAGCTTTATTTATAAAGCGCCTTCCGCAACCCTGTCAGGAAGCCCAAAGCGCTGAACATGGTACAGTTGTAAGTAATTATACTGAATAAATCAACAATAAAAGACATTCAAATTACAAAATACAAAATACAAAATGGAAATTTTAAGATAGATGAAACATTCCGGTAAAATACAAATGTGTGAAACACTATTGGATTGAGTGGATGGATTGAGTGTACCAATGAAAACTGTGGAATGGATTCAACATAAAAGAGGGCCAAAATCAAACACATTCAGGAAATGCCAAGCGGAGGAGGTGTGTTTTTAGGTGATTCTTAAAGACTGGCAGAGAAGGGGACAGCCTAACTGAGGATGGCAACTGGTTCCAGAGTAACGGTGCTAGGACTGAGAAAGCCCGGTCCCCGCGAGTACGACACCTAGACCGAGGGACAGCGAGCAGGCCTTGGTCAGAGGAGCGCAGAGCGCGTGATGGGGAATGTCTGTTCAGGAGTGTGGCCAGATAGGGGGGAGCACCACCCTGGAAGAAATGATAAACAAAGACGAGGATTTTGAATTGTGAGCGATAGGAAATCGGAAGCCAGTGCAGAGAGGCCAGAACTGGACTGATGTGGTCCCGTTTCCTGGTCCCAGTCAGGAACCTGGCAGCGCTGTTCTGCACAACCTGTAGGCAACGCAGTGTTGACTGACACAACCCTGCATAGAGAGAGTTGCAGTAGTCAAGCCGAGAAATAACAAAGGCATGCAGTACCCGCTCCAGGTGGGCTCTCGACAGCATAGGCTTGATTTTAGCAAGGCGTCTCAGGTGAAAGAAACTGGACCGGAACACAGAGTTGATGTGAGCATCAAATTTAAGTCCTACATCAAGTTTCACCCCCAAACTGGTAACAACTGGTTTTGAGTATGGAGAAAGAGGGCCAAGATCAGCATAACGATCCACATTCCTGCTGTTGGGGTGAAAAACAATGAGCTCTGTCTTTCCCTCATTCAGATGTAGATAGTTGGACATTAGCCAAGACTTCACCTCATTAATACAGGACACAAAGGACTGGATAGAGTGACCTTTCTCCTGACACAATGGAGAGTAAATCTGGCAATCGTCAGCATACAGATGGAATGATAGGCCATGTTTACGAAAGATTGACCCCAGAGGTAGCAGATAAATGGCAAACAAAAGTGGACCAAGGATCGACCCCTGTGGGACCCCCCAGCGGAGCCCCTCCCAAGAAGAAAAAACATCACCCAGTTTAACACAGAATGTCCTGTTGTGGAGATACGATCTAAACCAGTCCAGAGCTGACCCTTTGATCCCAACCCATCGTTCCAAGCGATCGAGTAGAATCGCGTGGTCAACTGTGTCGAAGGCTGCTGTCAGGTCTAACAACAGAAGCACCACAGATGTTCCCTGATCTAGTGATAGATAGATGTCATTTAGGACCCTCAGTAGAGCAGATTGTGCTATTGCCAGACCTGAACCCTGATTGGAAAACCTCAAACAGATCAGAGTCAGCTAAATGTGAGACCAGCTGCTGATAAATGACTTTCTCAAGCAGTTTAGATGTAAAGGGCAGGGTAGAGATAGGCCTGTAATTTTCGATCACAGAGACATCAGCACCAGGTTTCTTCAGGGTCGGCCGAATAACTGCTGCTTTCAAAGCAGCTGGGACCACACCTGTGCTGAGGCTCCCATTGATAATCTGACCAAGTGAAGGGCCAAGGCACGGAAAGGCAGCCTTCCAGAGACGAGGTGGCAGAACATCAAGTGGAGAGCCAGATGGCTTCTGCCTCGCAACTAGCTTACTCAGCTCAGAGTATGAAACTGTACTGAGGGAGCTCAGGGTGGGTGGTAATGGAGGAACTGGAGCAGGGTCAACAGAGTTACCAGAAATGACTGCTCTAATGCCCGACACTTTATCAACAAAGAATCTGTGAAAAGCTTCAGAGTTTCCAGCAGCTGTAGGAGACATGGTGCTAGGCTCCTGATACACCAGAAGTGAGTTTAGTGTTTTGAAGAGAATCTTAGGATTATTGGAGTTTGTCTCAATGATGTCTGCAAAATATGCAGTTCTAGCAGCCCTCACAGCATCCTGATAAGCAACCAGAGATGCTCTGAACAACTCACGCGAGACCTGTAGGCCATCCTTTTTCCACTTTCTCTCAGAGGATCTACACGCCCGCCTACAAGCCCGTGTGACATCAGAGAGCCATGGCTCCCTCCTAGGCCGAGACTTGCTAAGCTTGAGGGGGCAACCACGTCCAGGACCTGATTACAAAGTACATCAAAGTGTTGTGAATAGTGATCAACGTTAGATGGATCTGGGTTAAAGGTCTCTAACCTTACAGACATACAGTCCACAAACTTTGAAATAGTTTCTGCATCCAGGGCTCTGAACCTAGTAGCTGGAGCTTCACACACAGGGACAGGACATGGCAACGTAACATCACAGAGTATAGGAGACTGGTCAGAGAACACAGGAGGCAAAGTCACCAGGTTCATGACAGGGAGGCCATAAGAGAGAACCAGGTCCAGGGTGTGACCCCTGGCATGAGTTGGGGATGATACCCATTGAGTTAGATTGAATGACTCTAGCAAATTAAAAAAACCTTTAGCAAGCACATTATCAGGACAGCAGATATGGATGTTAAAATCACCAAAAAATAGGACATAATCATATTTTAGGATGCAGTCTGCCACAAGATCACTGAAATCATTAAGGAAGTTAGAGTCAGTCTTTGGAGGCCGATAAATCAGCACGACGAGCAGGCGGGGGGAGATGCACAGTTCAGATAAGCACAGTTCAAAGGAAGAAAATGGCATGGTGGGTGTAAGCTGTTTACAAGGAAAGCTGGATTTAAAAACAACAACCAGCCCTCCACCTCTGCCCCGTGGTCTGGGGGTATTAAAACACGAGCAGCCAGGTGGTATGAGCTCGAGTAGGGAACTTGT